TCATCCTGTAATCTCTCTCACTGTTATCTCTCACTGTTATCTCTCTGACTGTTATCTCTCTCTGTTATCTTTCTCACAGTTATCTCCCTCACTGTTATCTCTCTCTCTCACTGTTATCTCTCTCACCGTTATCTCTCTCTCTCACTGTTATCTCTCTCACAGTTGTCTCCCTCACTGTTATCTCTCTCTCCCTCACTGTTATCTCTCTCACCGTTATCTCTCTCTCTCACTGTTATCTCTCTCACAGTTGTCTCCCTCACTGTTATCTCTCTCTCCCTCACTGTTATCTCTCTCACTGTTATCTCACTCACTGTTATCTCTCTCTCTCTCTCTCTCTCTCACTGTTCTCTCACACACTGTTATCTCTCTCTCTCTCTCACTGTTATCTCTCTCACTGATCTCTCTCTCACTGTTCTCTCTCTCTCACACACGGTTATCTCTCTCACTGTTCTCTCTCTCTCATTGTTCTTTCTCTCTCTCACTGTTCTCTCACTGTTATCTCACCCACTGATCTCTCTCTCTCTCACTGTTCTCACACACGGCTATCTCTCTCTCTCTCTCATTGTTATCTCTCTCTCTCTCACTGTTCTCTCTCTCACGTTCTCTCTCTCTCTCTCTCTCTCTCTCTCTCTCACTGTTATCTCTCTCACACACGGTTATCTCTCTCACTGTTCTCTCTCTCTCTCTCTCATTGTTCTTTTCTCTCTCACTGTTCTCTCACTGTTATCTCTCCTCACTGTTATCTCTCTCTCTCTCACTGTTCTCTCACTCACTGTTATCTCTTTCTCTCACTGCTCCTCTCACACACTGTTATCTCTCTCTCTCTCACTGTTATCTCTCACACTGTTATCTCTCTCTCACACACTGTTATGTCTCTCTCACACACGGTTATCTCTCTCACTGTTATCTCTCCCTCTCTCTCACTGTTCTCTGTCTCTCACTATTCTCTCTCTCTCTCTCTCACTGTTATCTCACTCACTGATCTCTCTCACTGTTCTCTCTCTCTCACTGTTCTCTCACTGTTATCTCTCTCTCACACGCGGTTATCTCTCTCACTGTCTCTCTCTCTCTCATTGTTCTTTCTCTCTCTCACTGTTCTCTCACTGTTATCTCTCTCCTCACTGTTATTTCTCTCTCACTGTTCTCTCTCTCTCTCTCTCTCTCTCTCTCTCTCACTGTTCTCTCTCCGCTGCTCTCTCTCACACTGTTATCTCTCTCACTGTCTCTCTCTCTCTCTCTCTCTCTCTCTCTCTCTCTCTCTCTCGCTGTTCTCTCTCTCACACTGTTCTCTCTCAATGTTCTCTCTCTCACACTGTTATCTCTCTCTCTCTCACTGTTCTCTCTCTCACTGTTCTCTCTCTCTCTCACACTGTTATCTCTCTCAATGTTCTCTCTCTCTCTCACACTGTTATCTCTCTCTCTCTCACTGTTCTCTCTCTCTCACTGTTCTCTCACACTGTTATCTCTCAATGTTCTCTCTCTCACACTGTTATCTCTCTCTCTCTCTCTCACTGTTATCTCTCTCACACGGTTATCTCTCTCTCTCTCCCACTGCTATCTCTCTCTCAATGTTCTCTCTCTCTCACACTGTTCTCTCTCTCTCTCTCTCTCTCTCACTGTTATCTCTCTCACACACGGTTATTCTCTCTCAACTGTTCTCTCTCTCTCTCTCACTGTTATCTCTCTCACAAACGGTTATCTCTCTCACTGTTCTCTCTCTCTCCCACACTGTTCTCTCTCTCACTGTTCTTCTCTCTCTCTCACTGTTCTCTCACTGTTATCTCTCTCACTGTTATCTCTCTCTCTCTCACTGTTATCTCTCTCTCACTGTTCTCTCTCTCTCTCACTTGTCTCTCTCTCTCTCTCTCTCACTGTTCTCTCCTCACTCTCTTATCTCCTCAATGTTCTCTCTCTCACTGTTCTCTCTCTCTCTCTCACGGTTCTCTCTCACACTGTTATCTCTCAATGTTCTCTCTCTCACACTGTTATCTCTCTCTCACTGTTCTCTCTCTCTCTCCCTCACTGTTCTCTCTCTCTCTCTCAGTTCTCTCCCTCACACTGTTATCTCTCCCCACTGCTCCCCTCTCTCTCTCTCACTTATCTCTCTCTCACTGTTCCCTCTCTACACTGTCCTCTCTCCCTCAATGTTCTCTCTCTCACAGTTCTCTCTCTCTCCTCACAGTTCTCTCTCTCTCTCTCTCACTGTTCTCTCCTCACAGTTCTCTCTCTCACTGTTCTCTCTCTCCTCTCACTGTTCTCTCTCTCTCTCTCTCACTGTTCTCTCTCTCTCTCTCACTGTTCTCTCTCACTGTTCTCTCTCTCTCTCTCTCTTACTATTTTTTCTCTCTCTCTCTCACTGTTCTCTCTCTCTCTCCTCACTGTTCTCTCTCTCCCACTGTTCTCTTACTATTTTTTTATCTCTCTCACTGTTCTCTCTCTCTTACTATTTCTCTCACTGTTCTCTCTCTCTCTCTCTCACTGTTCTCTCTCTCTCTCTCTCACTGTTCTCTCTCACTGTTCTCTCTCTCTCTTACTATTTTTTCTCTCTCCTTCACTGTTCTCTCTCTCTCACTGTTCTCTCTCTCTCTCTCTCACTGTTCTCTCTCTCTCTCTTACTATTTTTATCTCTCTCTCTCTCTCCACTGTTCTCTCTCTCTTACTATTTCTCTTTCTCTCTCACTGTCTCTCTCTCTCTCTCTCTCACTGTTCTCTCTCTCTCTCTCTCCACTGTTCTCTCTCTCTCTCTCTCACTGTTCTCTCTCTCACTGTTCTCTCTCTCTCCTGCTCTCCTCACTGTTCTCTCTCTCTCTCTCTCTCTCACTGTTCTCTCTCCTGCCTCTCTCTCTCTCTCTCACTGTTATCCTCTCTCTCACAGTTCTCCTCTCTCTCCTCACTGTTCTCTCTCACAGTTCTCTCTCTCCTCACAGTTCTCTCTCTCTCTCACTGTTCTCTCCTCACAGTCTCTCTCTCTCTCACTGTTCTCTCTCTCTCTCTCACTGTTCTCTCTCTCTCACCTGTTCTCTCTCACTGTTCTCTCCTCACTGTTCTCTCTCTCTCTCACTGTTCTCTCTCTCTCTCTCTCACTGTTCTCTCTCACAGTTCTCTCTCTCACAGTTCTCTCTCTCTCTCTCTCTCTCCCTCTCTCACTGTTCTCTCTCCTCACTGTTCTCTCTCTCTCTCCTCACTGTTCTCTCTCTCACAGTTCTCTCTCTCTCTCACTGTTCTCTCACTGTTATCTCTCTCACTGTTCTCTCTCACTGCTCCTCTCTCTCTCTCATTGTTATCTCTCTCTCACTGTTCTCTCTCTCACTGTTCTCTCTCTCTCACTGTTCTCTCACTGTTCTCTCTCACTGTTCTCTCTCACTGTTCTCTCTCTCTCTCTCTCTCACTGTTCTCCTTCTCACAGTCTCTCTCTGCTCTCTCACTGTTCTCTCACAGTTCTCTCTCTCTCTCTCTGTTCTTCTCTCTCTCTCTCACTGTTCTCTCTCACTGTTCTCTCTCTCTCTCCTCACTCTCTCTCTCACAGTTCTCTCCTCACTGTTCTCTCTCACAGTTCTCTCTCTCTCACTGTTATCTCACTGTTCTCTCTCACTGTTCTCTCTCTCTCACTGTTATCTCTCACACACTAATAAACCTAGCTTAAGCTAACAAAGTTTATACTTACACACACACACACGCACACACACACACACATATTAAATAATCTAATACTGTAACTCCAAAAACCACAACAACCACCTATAACAGCCACCCATAACAACCATCCACAACAACCACCTCAACCACAACAACCACCCCAACCACAACAACCACCCCAACCACAACAACCAACTCTAACTACAACAACCACCCCAACCACAACAACCACCCCAACCACAACAACCACCCCAACCACAACAACCACCCCAACTACAACAACCACCCCAACCACAACAACCACCTCAACCACAACCACCACAACGCCCACCAAGCAGCGTGAGAGGATAAAGAATAAGTTAATCTCTCATCACCAATGGTCAGCTATTTCTAAGGTATTTCTCGAGCCTTGTGTGGCGGGAGGGAGTTGGCTTCACACGTTGTCGCCCAAGCCAGGGTTAATAGTTCCTCATTATCTGGAACTGATAACTGATAACTGTCTCTCTCTCTCTCTTTTGTCTTTTTTCTCTTCTTAGTCTCTTTCTCATTTTTTCTTTCTTTTCCTTTTCTGTTTCTCTCTCTCTATCTCTCTCTTTCTCATGTAGTCTGTGTGTGTGTGTGTTAACAAGGCGGTGATGGAGTGTGGATCCAGCTCACGTCCAACACGGGTACTTAAAGAGAGATACTTGAGGTTACTAGGCAGGTTCTCTCTCTCTCTCTCTCTCTCTCTCTCTCTCAAGGGAGGTAGGCGAGGCTACACAGGCCTGGGTACAGTACTTGCCTGTATCCTGGCAATAAGCTGGTGGAAGAGAGAGCAACTACCACCACTGTGTTTGGCGGTGATGTGTGTGTGTGTGTGTGTGTGTGTGTGTGTGTGTGTGTGTGTGTGTGTGTGTGTGTGTGTGTGTGTGTGTGTTGTGTGTGAGATAGAGAGATTAACACATCCTCAGCCCTAAAACACACACACACACACACACACACACACCACAGATGCAAACAAGACCCACAATATACCTCGTTTGGCTCCACAATGACCCTGACCTTTGACCTGACCTATAATTCAATACTGGCACCTCCTTCCCCCAGGGTCAAAGTAGCAGAGGTAAACTGTGTTGATCCGAGTACAGGAAATCAGGTTATGGTCCAATTAGCCTTTGATCTATTAAGTACTAATTCAATACACAAACTTCATCTCCCTTGGGCTGACGAGTCTTATAACGATCACCTGAACATTAACCACCCCACCTTATTTCACCTTATATTAACAAACCTAACCTAACCTAACTTAACCAAACCTAACCTAACCAAACCTAACCAAACCAAACCAAACCTAACCTAACCTAACCTAACCTGACCTACGAGTATTACTTGGATATCCACCGAGTATCACCTCCAACTGCCTGGTAATGTGAATCGAGTATGATCAGTGACAAGTTTACTGTCATGTGGGGGGCTGTAGTGGTACCCGAGGGCTGTAGTGGTACCCGAGGGCTGTAGTGGTACCCGAGGGCTGTAGTGGGGCCCGAGGGCTGTAGTGGTACCCGAGGGCTGTAGTGGTACCTGAGGGCTGTAGTGGTACCTGAGGGCTGTAGTGGTACCTGCGGGCTGTAGTGGTGCCTGAGGGCTGTAGTGGGGCCTGAGGGCTGTAGTGGGACCTGGAGGGTTGCAGTGGGGCCTGAGGGCTGTAGTGGTACCTAAGGGCTGGTGGCCTGAGGGTTGCAGGGGCCTGAGGGCTGTAGTGGGACCCAAGGGCTGTAGTGGTACCTGAGGGCTGTAGTGGCACCCGAGGGTTGCAGTGGGGGCCTGAGGGCTATAGTGGCAACGAGGGCTGTAGGGGACCTGGAGGGGCGAGTGGTACCCGAGGGCTGTAGGGGGCCCGAGGGCTGTGGTGGTACCCGAGGGCTGTAGTGGGGGCCCAAGGGCTGTAGTGGTACCCAAGGGCTGTAGTGGTACCTGGAGGGCTGTAGTGGGACCCGAGGGCTGTAGTGGTACCTGAGGGCTGTAGTGGGACCCGAGGGCTGTAGTGGCACCTGAGGTCAGTGGCACCCGAGGGCTGTAGTGGTACCTGAGGAGGGCTGTAGTGGCACCTGAGGGTTGCAGGGGCCCGGAGGGCTGCAGTGGTACCTCGGAGGGCTGCAGTGGTACCTGAGGGCTGTAGGGCCTGAGGCTGTAGGTACCTGGCGGGCTGTAGTGGTACCTGAGGGCTGTAGGGACCCGGAGGGCTGGGTAGTGGTACCTGAGGGCCGGTGGGGCCCAGGCTGCAGGGTACCTGAGGGCTGTAGGTACCTGAGGGCTGTAGTGGTACCTGGCTGTAGTGGTACCTGAGGGTTGCAGTGGGGCCTGAGGGCTGTAGTGGTACCCAAGGGCTGCAGTGGTACCTGGAGGGCTGTAGTGGGACCTGAGGGAAGGTAGTGGGGGCCTGAGGGCTGTAGTGGTACCCAAGGGCTGTAGTGGTACCTAAGGGCTGTAGTGGTACCTGGAGGGTTGCAGGGGCTGAGGGCTGTAGTGGTACCCAAGGGCTGTAGTGGTACCGAGGGCTGTAGGGCCTAAGGCTGTAGTGGTACCTAAGGGCTGTAGTGGTACCTGAGGGCTGTAGTGGTACCTGAGGGCTGTAGGGACCTGAGGGCTGTAGTGGGGGCCTGAGGGCTGGGTGGTACCCAAGGGATGTAGTGTACCCAAGGGCTGTAGTGGCACCCAAGGGCTGTGTGAATCTTGAGGGCTGTAGTGGTGCCTGAGGGCTGTAGTGGGACCTGAGGGCTGTAGTGTGGTACCTGAGGGCTGTAGTGGTACCTGAGGGCTGTGTGGGACCCGAGGGCTGTAGCCTGAGGCTGTAGGGACCTGAGGGCTGTAGTGGTACCTGAGGGCTGTAGTGGGACCTGAGGGCTGTAGGGACCCGGAGGGCTGGTGGCACCTCGAGGGCTGTAGTGGGACCCGAGGGCTGTAGTGGGGACCTGAGGGGCTGTAGTGGGACCTGAGGGCTGTAGTGGTACCCGAGGGCTGCAGTGGCACCCGAGGGCTGTAGGGTCGAGGGCTGTAGTGTGGGAACCGGAGGGCTGTAGTGGGACCTGAGGGCTGTAGTGGACCCGAGGGCTGTAGTGGGACCGAGGGCTGTAGTGGGACCCGAGGCTGTAGTGGGACCCGAGGGCCAGTGGTACCCGAGGGCTGTGTGGGACCTGAGGGCTGTAGTGGTACCTGAGGGCTGTAGTGGGACCTGAGGGCTGTAGTGGTACCTGAGGCTGTAGTGGGACCTGAGGGCTGTAGTGGTACCTGAGGGCTGTAGTGGTACCTGAGGGCTGTAGGGGACCCGAGGGCTGTAGTGGGACCCGAGGGCTGTAGTGGACCCGAGGGCTGTAGTGGGACCTGAGGCTGTAGTGTGGGACCTGAGGGCTGTAGTGGTACCCGAGGGCTGTAGTGGTACCTGAGGCTGTAGTGGGGACCCGAGGGCTGTAGTGTGGGACCTGAGGGCTGTAGTGGGACCTGAGGGCTGTAGTGGGACCTGAGGGCTGTAGTGGGACCTGAGGGCTGTAGTGGTACCTGAGGGCTGTAGTGGTACCTGAGGGCTGTAGTGGTACCTGAGGGCTGTAGTGGGGCCTGAGGGCTGTAGTGGTACCCGAGGGCTGTAGTGGTACCTGAGGGCTGTAGTGGGGCCCGAGGGCTGTAGTGGTACCCGAGGGCTGTAGTGGTACCTGAGGGCTGTAGTGGGACCCGAGGGCTGTAGTGGGACCTGAGGGCTGTAGTGGGACCCGAGGCTGTAGTGGGACCTGAGGGCTGTAGTGGTACCCGAGGGCTGTAGTGGTACCCGAGGGCTGTAGTGGGACCTGAGGGCTGTAGTGGTACCCGAGGGCTGTAGTGTACCCGAGGGCTGTGGAGTGGGGCCTGAGGGCTGTAGTGGTACCCGAGGGCTGTAGTGGTACCCGAGGGCTGTAGTGGGACCCGAGGGCTGTAGTGGGACCTGAGGGCTGTAGTGGTACCCATGGGCTGTAGTGGTACTCGAGGGCTGTTGTGGTACCCAAGCTGTAGTGGGGCCTGAGGGCTGTAGTGGTACCCGAGGGCTGTTGTGGTACCTGAGGGCTGTAGTGGTACCCAAGGGCTGTGGCACTCGAGGGCTGTAGTGTACCCAAGGGCTGTGTGGTACCTGAGGGCTGTAGTGGTACCCGAGGGCTGGTAGGAACGAGGGCTGTAGTGTGGGACCTGAGGGCTGTAGTGGTACCCAAGGGCTGTAGTGGGACCCGAGGGCTGTAGTGGTACCGAGGCTGTTGTGTACCGAGGGCTGTAGGTACCTGAGGGCTGTAGTGGTACCCAAGGGCTGTAGTGGTACCTGAGGGCTGTTGTGGTACCCAAGGGCTGTTGTGGTACCTGAGGGCTGTAGTGGTACCCAAGGCTGTAGTGGTACCCGAGGGCTGTTGTGGTACCTGAGGGCTGTTGTGTACCAAGGCTGTAGTGGTACCCGAGGGCTGTAGTGGTACCTGCGCTGTAGTGGTACCCGAGGGCTGTAGTGGGTACCCGAGGGCTGTAGGTGGTACCCGAGGGCTGTAGTGGTACCGAGGGCTGTTGTGTACCCAAGAGCTGTAGTGGTACCGAGGGCTGTAGTGGTACCCGAGGGCTGTTGTGGTACCCAAGGGCTGTAGTGGGACCCGAGGGCTGTAGTGGTACCCAGGGCTGTAGTGGTACCCAAGGGCTGTAGTGGTACCGAGGGCTGTAGTGGTACCCGAGGGCTGTAGTGGACCTGAGACTGTAGTGTGCGTGGCACTGAGGGCTGTAGGTACCCAAGGGCTGTAGTGGGACC